AAAATGGAAAATGTTTTATGCCCAAAAAAGACACAAGTGGGATACAAGGTGTGCAGAATGCAGAGCTGTGTTCTATTTCTTCAGAAGAAGAAACTAAGTTGCAAATAACTTAGTGATTTACCTGACTTGCTTTATGTGTCCTGCTCAAGTTTCTAATACAGACCACACAAATGATCTTTTCTTCCCCCACCCCACCTACTATACATCTTGCTGCCAGAAATCATAGGGGAAAGGATGGAAAAAGAGCAAAGAATAATTGCTTACTTCTGGTCAGAATTATTGTACTAAATCCAAAGGTCCGTGAGTGATGGAAAGTAGTTCAAAAGGAAAAAAAACAAGTCTTCATTTTAATCCAATCTACCATCTGTATGATAAATAGGAGCATGCCTAACACTCTGTCACCTAATGGGAAATTCCCTAATGGTGGATTAGATCTTAACTGGATGGCCAAATCTTAGAAGACTCACATCCGGGATGGCTGGGTGGCTTAGTTGTTGAGCGTCTGCCTTCGCCTCAGGTCATGATCCTGGGGTTCTGGGATTGAGCCCCGCATTGGGCTCCCTGCTTGGCGGGAAGCCTGCTTCTCCCTCTCCCTCTGCTTGTGTTCCCTCTCTGTCTCTCTCTGTCAAATAAATAAATAAATACATACATATTTAAAACAAGAAAGAAAAGGAGACTCACATCATTCTCCCACTTCTTCTATGTGGAACAAGGCTTCAGAACTTAGGCCAGCAGTGAGGGGTTAAATTTTGTTTTAGCCTTGCTTCAAGTGAACATAAATTAGTTAGTCCCAATGAAAACTGAGAGAGAAAGGTGGAGATTCTAGGAAAGGGAGAAGAATAGGAAAACACACAACAGGATTGTCAGATTGGGCAAATAAAAATACAGAGCGCCCAGTTAAATCTGAATTTTGGATAAACAATAAAAAACTTTTTAGTATAAGCACATTTCCAAATCCCAAATAAGGCATGGTTAACAGCAGCTTTCAAAATAGAGATGATTTGGGACGCCTGGGTGGCTCAGTTGGTTAAGCAGCTGCCTTCGGCTCAGGTCACGATCCCAGCGTCCTGGGATCAAGTCCCACATCGGGCTCCTTGCTCGTCAGGGAAACTGCTTCTCCCTCTGCCTCTGCCTGCCATTCTGTCTGCCTGTGCTCACTCTCTCTCCCTCTCTCTCTCTGACAAATAAATAAATAAAATCTTTAAAAAAAATAGAGATGATTTGTGGACTCAAAAATTGTATGACATGTGGACTTATGCCAAAAAATTACTAGTTGTTTATCTGTAATTCAAGTATAATTGGGTGTCCTGTATTTTATCTGGTAGATCTAGTTAAAAAAGCAAAAAAAAAAATTTTCTTTTTAGTAAATTTATCAAAATTCTTAATTTCAGTTACCAGGACCTCTCAGAGATGAAAAAATTCTAGGCCACATTTTTTGGTTTGTTTCTTTGTTCAGAGATTTCAAATATAGCAAAATGTGAGAAAAGTTCCAAAAAGTGTTAGAAAGTTTATAGAGTGTTTATATATTTTTTCATTTTACAAAATAACACTTTTTTTTTTTCTTTAAAGAGAGAGATCACAAGTAGGCAGAGAAGTAGTCAGAGAGAGAGGGGGAAGCAGGCTCCCTGCTGTGCAGAGAGCCTGATGCGGGGCTGGATCCCAGGACCCTAATATTACAACCTGAGCCAAGGCAGAGGCTTAACCCACTGAGCCACCCAGGTGGCCACAAATTAACACTTCTAACTCAATGAAGATATGTTTTTACTATTCATTACATAATTATAGCATATATATTTTAATATTAAACCATCATATACTTTAGGTAGTGTGGTCAAATAGTGGAAAACAAATATGAATTTCAAGTTTACTTTAAGTTGTATTAAGTGTATCCCGGTTATTTTACATATTTATTAACTGGAGGCAATGAAAAAGTCTAAATTGCAGAGATTTTACACCGTATGATGCTGGGGATCAAATGCCTCCTCCTTCTCTCTCAATTGATTGGCTCTGTCATCCATAGAAGAGAGGACTGACCAACTGCTTGGGACATCTATTTCAACCCTAGGTATAGAAAGTCATCTTCTAGATTTGGGGACTGTAGTAGTTTCCTTCAGCTGCTATAACAAACTGCCACAAACTTGGTGGTTTAAAACAACATACATTTATTTCCCTACATTTCTGGAGACCCAAAGTCCAAAAATCAACATGTAAGGAGGACCATGCTGTCTCAGGAGGCTCTTGGAGAGAAACCCTTCCTTGCCTCCTCCAGCTTCTAGCATTCCCTGCCTTGTGGCTGCATCCCTCCCGTCTTTGGCTTTCTGATCATGTTGCCCTCTCGTCTGATAGTCAAATCTCCTGCTGCTTCTTATACCAACATGGTTACATGATTACATGATTATATTTAGGATGAGGATGATCTCTCCACCTAAAGATCCTTAATTAATCACATCAGCAAAGTCCATATTTTTGCCACATAAGGAACAACTGGCAGGATTCAGGGATTAAGACATGAATGTCTTTTGGGAGCCATTATTCAGCCTGCCACAAGGACTGAGGAGGTGACTTACACAGAGCAGGATCCCCGAAGAACACACACTGGCTTGGGTGGGCTTAGCCAGGAGTCAGTTTAGCCAGGGATGTCCTTCACTGATTGTGAGGAAAGATCTGGAATTCAGCCTTGAAGTCTTGGTCATCTCATACACACACCTGAAGTCATGAACCTGGACTGTATTCCTCTCATATTTCAAATATATGTCAGAGGTAGAGTCCATAATCCCACCGAAGAAAGCAGTTCTCACGGTGTTGGGGCCAATCATATATCCTTGATAACCTGAAGTCTGCCCATTTCATAACTTATGGTCTCTCTTGTCTGCTATTAAGCTTTTTTCTGTTATTAAAACTAGAGGAGTAAGTATAAATTATTTAGAAGTATTTGTTAACATCTCTTAGGTACAAGGAATCACTGAAGGTGGAGAGAGAGCCGCTCCTGGGGCAGACTGTCGGGAATCCAACCCCTGTTCCACACTAATTACTGGCTATGTGACCCCAACTCTGTGCCTATTTCCCATGTATAAAATAATCTCTACTTTTTAAGGTTGTTGGGGATTAAATAAGCTAATATATGTGCAAAGGGCTCAGAGTAATGGCTGGCTGTTAGATGATGTTTCTAACTTAATGTTAGCTTCTCTTTATTTCAAAGAAGGTATCAAAGAAATAAATCCCTGTGTAGGACACAGGATAGCTCAAGCAAGATATATGAAAAAACAAAACAAAGCAACCTTTTTTTTTTTTTTATAAGTTTAAGAATTAAGACAAGTGCTTATAAGAGGTCTGAGTTTAGGGAAGTTTTTGTTTTTGCTGTTTGTTTTTAGAGCTCTGACTTAAGAGCCTCAAGAGTTAACAAGAGAGAACAATGGAAGGGAAAAATACTACTTTGGAAAAGGCTGGTTGCGCAGGCTCTTCCATGGAGCTAGTAGGTAGCTTAGCATCTGGCACTGGGCAGTCAGGGCAGGATGAAAGTGTGATAAGAATGCCAACCTCCCTCCTCTCTCTCTGCCTGCCTCTCTGCCTACTTGTGATCTCTATCTGTCAAATAAATAAATAAAATTTAAAAAAAAGGGGGGGGGCGCCTGGGTGGCTCAGTGGGTTGAAGCCTCTGCCTTCGGCTCAGGTCATGGTCCCAGGGTTCTGGGATCGAGCCCCACGTCAGGCTCTCTGCTTGGTGAGGAGCCTGCTTCCTCCTCTCTCTCTCTCTGCCTGCCTCTCTGCCTGCTTGTGATCTCTGTCTGTCAAATAAATAAATAAAATTTAAAAAAAAAGTGCCAACCTCACACAGCTTGTGCTAGTCTGGAGAAACGCGGAGCCCAGTTCTGATGCTTAGGAGCTTTGAACTTCGTGGCATTCACCAAGTTAGAAAAAGTCTGTAACACCTACAAAGAAGACTTGTTTTAAGGATTACATTAAAGAATGTATGAGAAATTACCCAGCCAAATGTAAAAAGGTTTTAGTTTTCAACATGACCTATTAGTCGAGCTGCAGACAAGCCCGTCATTGAAGGCTTCATTTCTTTAAATAGGATATAAAACCACCAACCTTTGCATCATATTTAAAGGGCATTCATTCCTCGAACAGTTTTTTGAGCATATAGTATGTACCAGGGATTACATTAGAAGCCGCTTGATAAAGTTAGAGCATGACAAACTTCTGCCTGGAGAAACTTATGGGTCAGTAGTAAAGGCAGTCACACGGAGAGAGAATACCACATGGGTGGAAAGAATGATCATGGAAATTATGAACAGAGCGCTGATGGGGCCCTTAGGAAGGAATCTCTAATTTTGTCTGCAGGAACAGAGAAAAGTGAGTATCAGAATATTTCTATACCAACAGCAGAAAAAAAGAGAGACGGGCTCTCAGTAGAAAATGGCATTTAAAAAATTGGACTGGGCAAAAGACGGTTTTCTGGAATTTTGCTGAGCCTTTTTGCCTTATGCAGAAAGCTGGCTGATAGTCCAGTCCCAAACGTCAATGAATAAGCTGCTAGATGATTACTAAATGACACTCAGGAATAAACTGTATTAAAAGTGACAGATGACATATTAAAAATAACATCCTTATACATATAATACACAATACCTAAGCCATCGCATTAACAAGATCAACATAATGGGTTCTGCCTACTTAAGTGGCTGGCGGGGGGGGGTGGCGTCGGGGAGGTGGGGAGTGTGGTGGATGTGGTGATGACCTAAAGGTCAGTCAGCTGTATGCTGCCCCAGGACCTTTCCTCAGCTGGGAGACCTTAGGTTTTCAGAGCAGAGGTGGGGGCTTTGGCAGGGGAAGTTTAGAGCCGAGGGAGCGGCAGAAGCACGTGGGCTGAGGGGGGTGGGAGGACGCAGACGGAGGAGTAACCGGTGGAAGTGTCAAAGAGGAAGGAGTGGAGGGCTGCTGAGGTGACAGGGTGTGGTCTGTGGGGGAGCAACCGAACCGGGAGAGGAGGGCAGAGAGACCCACCAGGACAGAGGCGGCAGTGGGGAGCGTGCCTGCGTCGCTCGGTGCCGTGACAGCGAGGAGCGCGGCGCGGGGCCGGGTAGCAAGGGGAGTTTCCGTCCTCGCTCAAGTGGAGCTCAGCTCGGAGCTGCGCCAGCGCCTTCCGCCTGGGCCCGCGGTGCCAGACACCTGCCGAGTCCGAAGCGGGAGTCCGGCTGAGCCTTCGGTCCCCAAGTAAGTCTTGCCTTTTCTCTCCATTTCTCCTCTTTATCTGTGGAGCTAAAAGCTCCTGCTGGGGGGCTGCGCGCAGAGCGCACCAGGAAGCTCCGGCGGCGTCCAGGGATGCTCCCAGGCTCCGGGCGTGCCCCGGGCGGCGCGGGGACCCGGCCCCGAGGCCCCGCCGCGGCGTTCGCCGGCGCAGCGCAGATGGAGGCGGCGGAAGAGTTGGTGGCACTGCTACTACCCGTCTTTTGTGTCTTGCCCGATCCCGGAGCCGTGCCAGGCCGGGGGGAGGGGACGGAAGCCACTTTATGGCTCCTGGCCCCACCTCTTGCCCCCACCCCAAATCCTTCGGGATTTCAGTAAGCCGCGGACTCGGGCATAAGTGAGTGCCAAAGCCCCCAACTGGGCTAGTTACCTCCGGGTGGGCAGCCGGCGGGACCGCCACGCCGCCCGCTCTTCAGATTTTCTTTTGAGATACGGCAGCTTTAATTGGTGGGTTCTGGGAACGGGGCTTACGAGTGATTACGAGAGTCTAGGTGTCGGGAACGACCTACCTTCCTGTTTTTCTTGGGTTCTGGAGGGGAAAGGATGGGGCACCGGGAGCCCCGAAGCCAGGAGCGTCCCGCGCTAGCGGGCTTGCGCGCGGCCGGAGAGCAGGCGTTCGCTGGGTGGGTCCCTCCTCTGGCTCATTGTTCGCGGTGACTGTTCTTGGGGACGGGCTGAGCGACACAGACACTGCTCACGGGGCCATAAATAAAAGTGACGACTTGGAGGAGTGAGGTCAAGGCTGCTCGGAGAAAAGGGCTTACCCAGTTTGGAAACGGACTTCTCTGAGCTGGGAGGGCAGTAGTAGTCGACAGCGAAAACCGCTCCTGAGTGTGAAACTTAGATCTGACTCTAATTCACAGAGACAACCTAGTGAATTAAACCCTAGGAAACAGGGCGCCTGTTTCCCCATAGAAATTGTTTTCAGAGTCAGGAAGATGGAGTTTTAATTGTTATTGGCAACTGGCTGCTTTCTCTTGCTAGCTAGCACCTGTTTCTTAAAAGAAGGTTCCTGGGTGGGGTTTATTTTTTCGCCCCCTCCCCCTCTGTTTTGGCATGTGTATTTATTCTATTTGTGCTTTCAGCGAGTTGAATTGCAGAGTTCCGGGGGGGGGGGTGGAATCCGTTTTTAAAAACAAAGTGCAATTTCCACTCTACAAACGAGCAAGCACTCGTGTACACATTCATTGCTCTCCCATCCTAGCCGCATGCTAACATTCATGGAGGCAGACATGTGCACCTGGAGTCAAAGAGAGACGGTTATCCATAGTTGGAGATGCCAAAACACAGCTGGTGCTTGTTCATTTTGTTGGCGAGTAGGACACTCTTGAGTTTTCCCGTTTTTCTAAATTACAGCGATATCACCTGTTCATGATGTCTCTTCCTTAGCCCACTACAAAGGAGGTGCATTTTCCTGAAAAGGATATTCCTTCTTTCTCTAAGGTCCATGGCTACTAATCAGAGTAAGCTTCTGACAAGAGGGATTTTTAAAATTTATATAAATAACATATATGTATGTGTATGTGCATATATATACGTATACATATATGTATATATGTTTGTAGCTGGTTGTAAATCCCAGTAGCTACTAACACACCCGACTGCCCTGTTTATATTTTGCTCTGACTTGCCTGATGGACCTGCTAAGTGCATCAATCTGCTGAAGCCTGGAGTTCCAGCCTCCAGGAGAAATAATAGCAGCACCTCTTTCTGACCACAGTCTGATTCCACAGGGAAGACCATGTGGAGTGGGGTGCTGTTAATAGGATATGGAAAACTGTGTGACTTATCCTAAGGAAGGAAGGGAGAGGTAGAAGATAAATAAAAATGGAAACTGGAGTAGGCATCCAACATACACAGTTCCATAAATACACATGTGGAAAGTATATTGTGTTCTCTCTTTCTCTCCCTCATGCCCTTTACCACTCTTAATATTCCTTAATCTTTTCCATTGCATTATTTGAGCCTCTTTTTTTTTGCTTTGAAAAAAAACTTTTGTATTTTCAATCTATTAATATTTTTACATTTTCAAGATCAATAGTGCTCAATGAGTGCATAGGATTATCTTTAAGCTGTTCTTTTGTTTGTCTACTCGCATACCATGTCCAGTTTAGTATGAAACCACACGAACAATGAATCAACCAGGTTCTAATGAAGATTAAGACATGGAAGGTATCCACAGCTATGTATAAACTGTATACTCATTTAATCACCTTCTCACATGACCAGTTTTATCTAGTTGCTTGTTCATCTTCTGAAATCTCCTGACTCCAAATTCTTACCCAGATTGATTGCTGCTCTAAATCTTGATTGTACAAAAAACAGAACTTAATTATTTTGGCCTCATTTATCAGTCAGCAATGTTTAGTGTTGCCAATTTAATTATATCATTGAAACATGCATGACTTTAAAGTATGTTGGAAAAGGTCCTTTTAAAAGTGTTTCTTCAAAAAGAAAAAAAAGTCCTTGTGAAGCCATAATTTCACTGCTGTGAGGCCCCCTAGTCATTTGTGTTTATTGAGTTTACTCTTCCACATGAAGAAAGAACCATTGTTTTGTTGTCTAGGAGCTGAAGGAGGATGGAAAGTGAGAAAAGAAAATCAAGCACTTTAAAATGCTATTATTTTCTCTACTTGGAAAAAATTTATTTTTTTTAAGTAAACAGTGATTATTTTCTTAAAGATCTGAAACCTTACTCAAGGGTACTGAGGAAAAGACATTTTCAGGATAGAAATGCTAGCTGTTACTAAACACTCACAGAAGGGTGGTGTATATAAACATATTTTTAAACCAATCTTATAACACATTTTCTTTCTATAGAATTATGAAATGTTATTGAATCATTGTTATTAACATATTGAAGTCTTACCAAAATCTATATTTAAATATACTGTCTTTTTGAGAGTGCTTTAATTGTAATAGCCTGTTTGTTGAGATTAAAAAGAACATCATTGATGTCATGGTGTGCTTTGCATTTTAAAATAGTAGCTAATGAATTACAAACATTCATTACTCCACAACCACTTGCTGAAATTTCTCAGGACCCCCAAATAGAGAATTATTTGTACTATATACTACCATTCAGACTCTTTCTGAGTTTATGTTGTTCCTCTTTTCTTCTTCACAATTAATTTCCTTTTAAAGTAATACTCTGTTGACTCTGAATCTTTTGTTATTTTTATCCTATGTCATATATTTATGTGTAAATATCTTCAACATTGTAAGGGACTTCCTTTGGAAACGTAGAGATTGGCGGGGGGGAGAGTGAAGAAAGGGAGAACAACTTTTATTAAACCTGGGAAGAGTCAGAGCTTATCACAGGAAGAGAAGGGCAGGTTTCATTGAATAAATTCATTGAGGAATACTTCTTTGACCTTTAAAAGTCCAAGCTGCGTGGCACATAATATACATTTGATAATTTAGGCATTATCTTCACATATCATAAGGCAAAGTAATACAGTATCATAGTTCTTTGGTTTGTTACATTTGAATGTTGACTTTAATTCCATTAATTTTCCTTTGTATTAAGTAATGAAAACTACCCACTGTTTTCTTTAGGTATGCCAGGTATGGGGTGTGTGTGGAAGGCTGGAGGGGAGGGAATGCTGTTCTATTTATGTAAAAATGAAAATTGTCAATGTTTCTTTTGGAGGCATTTTATTTAAAAAGTTCAGTTTCCTCTTACAAGTTTAGAACTTATTAAATATTTAAGAAGGGAGATGAAGCTTGCAACTCAAGTTTCATAACTAGATGCGACCATAAACAAATTGGTTAAGTGATTCAAATAAGTGCATTTAAATTGTAAATTTAATTTTCCTTCCCATAAACTAATATGAAGAAAAAGTATTGAATAAGATATCCTTAATAGCCAATATTTGTTTAGATTTTCTTTAAAATAAAGATTAACATAATTGATCGATGAAAATATAGACATTTTTGAAGTGAAGATATAGACTAATGCAAATTGATTGTGTATACTTTTTATATGTAGCTTATTTATGATAAATTATTATGTTTAATCTCAGGAATAATGTGTATTTCTTAACTGATTATATTTTCTCTTTTACTTTGGCCTCTAGAAGACTCAGAGCCAATCCAAGTCTAATTTATTGATCATATAAAGCTCTGTGGAATGTATGTGTGTGTATATTATGTTTCTCAGTAACTTTATCGTATTCTACTTATTTTTTTGTCGAAATGTCTATTTTTTTTATTGTGTGGGGAGACCATCAAAATGAATAGGAGTAAGTGTTTAGAAGTAGAGTCAAATCTGAAAATAGTTATTAAGCAAAGGCTGAGGACCCTAGCCAAACTTAGGCATGACTTCTAATCTAAAGATACTTATAGTTTGGCAAGAAAGAGAAGCCATAAACACATAACAAATTAGCTAATAACGAGTCAACATATATTTGCACATCTGTTGCATTAAATTAAAAACCCAGACCTTATCTTTAATGATGCTCAGCTTCCACTTTCTGGAAAAACATTATTAATAGTACCTACCGGTAAAGCAAAGTAACCAAATCTTTTCATTAGAAAGAATTCCCTTCTGGGTATAATAAACTCCAAATAGTCTGAAGATGTGAGAATAAAAATAAGTGTTGGAAAGATCATTGTGATTCTTTGGTGGTGGAGATTTTCCGACATTTCTATTCTCTTTCTCTCTTCCCCTCTTCTGTCTTTAATTGGCTTTTCTGCTTGCTACCTAATCAGCCAGTGGCTGGACCTGACTGACAGGTGTGGCAATTCTGGTGGCAAGCTCACTCCACCAGGCTATCAGCTTATGAAATTTCTGGATATGTAAATACAATATTTTTTCTAAGTACTGTACTTAAATACAGTAGTTAAATGTAAGCACCCACTGGTTGTTTCCCTTTGTACTTGAATCAACAACCATTTTAAGCTTTTAGAAGGGACCACCCACAAAACTGTTCTTTTTGGCTGTTGAAAAACTCAGGGAGAGGGAA